GGGGGTGTGGGGTTCTGTCATATTACTCAGTCATGAACATATGTGCGTTCATGGAGGTAGAAAAGTGAGGACGCTATTATTTCCGCTGGTTTCATGATGCTTTGAAGTTGTTTACTGAGTACACATTTTAATTTGGCAAAAATGCTGTCAAGTGCCACCGTTAATCGGCTTAAGTGTTTCGGCTATATTCGGAAGCTTCGCGAGAATTAAAACGATAAGTGGCTTAACAAGAGCAACCAACACAAAGGATGTTGATAGGATTAACACAGGCTTAAATAGCGTCCTCACTCATTCTCTTTTCTACCTCCATGGTGCATTCAAGTCAAGTTGGCACAGAGGCGACGGCATGAAATTTTGCATGACGGGGCGAGATTTGCTCAATAACCTCGCACCGACATTACTAGGAGGTCAGCAGGCATGCTCCCCCTTAAAAAGTTTTATACCCTCTGAAACGCTATTTCTTGCATTTTGAGGGGCAAATTTTGCTAACACAAAGAGTTTCAGCTTGATTTTGGAAGGGCGACACCTCATCAAAATTTTTTTGAGGGGGGCGACCGCCCCTCTGTCCATCCCCCTTGTGGCACACAATTCATTAAAAAGAGCTTCCTCGTTGACATCAAGTGCTTGTTCTAACAATTTTGAGCACCTGTCATGTTTTTTCTCTATTTCTTTCATTTGTTATTGTGATCACTTTCATTCCTCTGTGGAATGGATAATAATAATAGTTTTTATTGAAGTTGTATCCTAAAAATGGACATAGATCTAAGTACAATAAAGCATGATTGTCAATCCATGTCAGAAACATTCAGAATATAAACCAGTTGGTTGAGATAGCTCCGCTGTTAGCAATGCATATTTCAGTAAAAGAACAGAAGGTATCATTAGAACAATATGTATAGTATCAAAGCAATGGGACTTGCTGTTTTCAACAAGAATTCAAGAATATCACTTTTCACCAAAAATGACAAAAATAATCATCAAAATTAGATAAATAAAGATATCACCACGAAATTAACAAATCTGAAAGAGGTCCACATGTAGTACCTATATATGTAATATAAAAACAATCGGACTTTGTGGTTTTTAACAAGAAGTCGAGAATATCGCTTTTTACCAAAAATGACAG